GATTATAGAACCGACCGCAAAGGTTTCATATACATGCATGTTGTGTATCAAAAGTTGATCATATAAATGTTGAATTTCATGAAATTGTTCTATGACCGGACGAGAATCCACCATTTTGTAACTATTAAAGTTACTAATTAGAAATTTCTTACTTGAAGAATCCTCGGTCATGTACTTGGATTCTAGAGATTCCCACAACGTTTTAGTGAATTCAACATTTTGATACACATCAAAAAGAGAATCACACATACCATTCAAAATGTGTTCACGGCAAATGTAGTCGTCGTTGTCCCACTTTATACGGCGGCGGCTTGTTTCCAAAGTCTCTTTTTCATCATCCTCGGGCAGCCTCGGGGTGCTTAACACATAAACCACTTTTAAAGTAGTGAGCAGAAAATGCATCTTTTTCTGCCACCTTCGAAACTCCACACCTTCAAACTTTTCCATTTTTGAAAATTGGTGTTGATGATATCGCGTTGGTAGCAGCCATATTTTCGGAAGTCGTAAACTTTTAGATTGTTAGAACTGAAGGATAAAAGTAATATATTAGGGTGTAGAAATATGGTTGGACCGGATATCACTTCTAGTCACGTATAAGATACACTTTCCTAAAAGTTTACTATCTACTATACCCTTATCACAGTAATCGGGTTACAAGATAGAACTTTTGGGATAAAAAGAAAGTGTACAGTGTATATTGGCTACTGACAAAATACCACCGAACAAGTGATTTGTATATAAAGTGGTCTAAACACTTTAATACTAACGTTGCAGATATTAGTATTTAGTAAGACAAGAGAAGATTGAAAAATTAATTAATTTTCATCCGTTTCTCAATCCAACATGGTCCTGCTATTTATAATGAAAAAGCAACTCTTTGAAAATAGGCAGTTAACAAACTGGCACTCTTTCATAGAACGGTTGAAAAGCCTTCAAATAAACGAATAAGTGCGACCCTTCATAAAAGTCATGTACATTTTATTAAAATCATTTCCATGTAATTTACTTTAAAAATATTGAACACCAAAAGGTGCTGGACCAAAGTACGTATATGGATAACCACATAAATAAAACTTAACATTTGCAAAGAGCTCATAAATGCAAATGTAATAAAGTAATATTATTATAATTATTATGAGATCATAGTTCACAATACGTTCTCATAATATATACGTAGTCTAATAATCATCATAATAATAAAATAACATCATTTTAATAAATCACATTATTTATAAAATGATTAAGGACCATGTAAATTAATAATTGAGCTTTATTTCCAATAAATCTCCAACAGGCCCCACCCCGATCCCGATCCCGATCCCACCCTAATCGCCATCTAACCCCTACCCCTATCCTACCTTACCCCGACCCCGACCCCACCACGCCCCCCTACCATACCCCCCTCCACATGCCCCTACCTCGGCCTCACCCCGATCCCGATCCCGACCCCACCCTACCGCCATCCTAACCCCCACCCACCCCCTATCGTGGTAAGGGTAGGGTAGGGGTCAAGGGTGTGAAATTGGGAGTAGGGTGTTAGGGTAGGGGTAGGGTGGGGGTACGTGGGGGGTATGGGGTGGAGTAAGGGGTCAGGGGTATAGGTACATGTACGAGGTGACCCCACATATTATATTATATACTTGTGTTCATAAATGTTTGTGCGTCTATATATGTATAGGGACCATTTGTGACATTTTAATGTTAAATAGTGTTTTAAACCCCGTGAAATAAACACAATCTTACAAAATTGCTTATTTTATGCGCCGCTTATTAACGCTGGTCTTAATAAGCACCATTTAGTAACCTTTGAAGTAAACATGTCCTAAGGGTTTTGGCATCAAATTCTTCACTTTTCAAAAGAATTACATGTGTACACAGACTAGTATAGTACCCATGCATACGCACGGGAAATATTCGTTGATGCATATATTTGTAGTCATGATCTAATTAAATATGAAAATAAAAATAACTTTTCAAAAATAAGAGTATTATGAGCTAATACAATAAAGTATAAGCCCATATAATAAATACTTAATGAAGAGTATATTAGGGAAAGTTAAAAAAAGAAAAAATTAGGAAAAGTTAATTGACACCACTCATTGGAATTTGCTACTTATTAATTTTCATGATTAAGTTAATTTTAGAATTATACTCCGTATATTATTCTAAAAAAGTGAGTACAATAAGTGAGTGACATAAAATTTAAGTGACTACAATAAATATTAAAACTAATGATATTAGTTAAATAAGAACTTGATACTCATGAGTTAAATTAGTGCTAACATATGATAAAGAAAATTATCCTGCTAAACTAATAGACGTCTTATCTTATACCTAAAAACTATGTTGTGGTTAATTCCAGTTTTGTGCATATTTGCGGGTTTACACTCAATTGGACCGGTTCTAGGACCGGGTGGCCGGGTTACTGGTCAAACTACCCGGTACATTCGATTATCTTAACACAGCCTAAAAGAATTAAATATGGGAGAAAATTGTCTCGCTGAATTATTAGTCGGCTTATCTAATACTTAAAAGAACTACATATATGAGAGAAAATTCTCCAATTCAATTATTAGCATGTTTCTCTTCTGGTACCTAAAAAGACTAAATATGAGAGATAAAGTTCTGCCGCTCAATTATTAGCAAGTTTATCTTCTTATATCTAAAAGCACTACATATGAGAGAGAGAATTTTCTGTTCAATTGTTAGCTGGCTTATTTTCTTTATTATACCTAAAAGCAGTACATATAATACATATATGAGAGAAAATTCTCCCGCTTAATTGTTAGCTGGTTTATCATCATCATACTTAAAAGAACTACATATGAGAGAAAGTTCTCCTACTCAATTGTTAGCTGGATTATCATCATCATACTTAAAAGAAACTACATATGAGAGAAAATGTTTTCCAGTTCATTTGTTAGCAAGCTTATCTTCTTGTCTTCATCTTCATCTTCATCTTCATATACCTAAAAGCACTACATATGAGAGAGAAAATTATCCCGCTCAATTGTGAGCGGACTTATCTTATAAGGAATACTTAAAAGAACAACATATGAGAGGGAAAAAAAGAACAACATATGAGAGATAAAGTTATCACAATCAATGGTTAGTAAACTTATCTTCTAATACCTAAAAGCACTACTTATGAGAGAGAGAAATCTCATCCTCAATATTCTAGCTCAATATCTAGAAGCACTATATATGAGAGAGAATTTTTTTTCCGCTCAATTATTAGGAAGCTTATCTTCTTCTTATACCTAAAACTACTACATATGACAAATAAAATTCTCCCGCTCAATTGTTATCCAACTTATCTCATAACTAAAACTACTATATATGAGAGAGAAAATTCTCCCGCTCAATTATTAGCAAACTTATCTTCTTATACCTAAAACCACTACATATGAGAGATAAAATTCTCCTGATCAATTGTTAGTCGGCTTATTATTTTTTTTACTCCAGTGGGGGGCTGGGGGAGGGGGGCTGGGGGGAGCCTGGAGTAATCAGGGCTGAAACTCACTCCATTGAGTTTCAAACCCTTGTGTGCCTAGCGGGATTCAAACTCGAGACCTCCCACTAGGCACGGTAACCTCGCAACCAGCTAGGCTGGAGTGCTTGGTTAGTCGGCTTATCTTATAACTAAAAGCATTACATATGAAAGACAAAAGTACTCTCCTCAATTGTTAGTCAGTTTATCTTATTAAAAACTTCATATTTTCCAACCATGATAAGTATAGTGGATAAAATTTTGACTTATTTACTTTTAGTGGTTATAATTATATTTTAGTTTTATATTCCGCATCAAAGTAACTATAAGTAAGAACCTCTCCAATAGATATTTGTAAATAAAAAATTGATTAAGTTGGTTATGAGTACAATTTTAATTATAGTCACTTTGATATAATTTTAAACATAGTTATAGTTATTAAAAGTTAATATGTCATACTTTTAGTCGATATCCTTATTTGGGGGTGTTTGGTTAGGAGTCTATTAGTCAAAATTTGGCTCATTTGACCAATTTTGGCCTTTTGACTGGATCAATCAGCTACGAAAAGTGATTGGTTAAATGGCTTTTCATTTGACTTTTTATCCCAAATAGCCAAAATAGAAAAATGCTATCAAATGTAGCGGTTTGGTACAACTTTTCCTTATTTTTCATTGACTACCCACGCAGACCATGCCCCTTACTTTGGGCATCTGCCTCCTCCCGGTCTTCAACTCACCGAAGAGAGAAACAAAAATGCAGGAAGCAAGCATGCATGTTATAAAATATTCTTTTCTATCTTTTTTAAAAGTCATATGGAGAAGGTTCAAGTTTTGTGCATTTATTAAAATATGCCATGTACTTTTTTATGTCAAAATAATGATGATGATGATGATGATGATGGTGATGATGATGGTATTAATAATAATTATTATTAATATTATTATTGAAGCTAAAAATTAATTGATGTCCTTAATAGTCATTTAACAAGTTATCAGTTGACTGTAAATGACCATTTAACCAAACACTATTTTACGAACTGTTATATTATCAGCTAATCAAAACAGGCAATAGAATCTGTTGTTATGAATCGGCCAACAGCTAACAACAACTTAACATCCAATTGCCAAACACCCCCTATGTGTAATACTTTTGTCACTTTTTACTTGTGTGTATTTTTATGATTATACTTTTACATGAATTCTACTTTTACTTGTGTTCATGTATTGGAAGTGTTTGTAATCATTGGAAACCTATAGTGTAGAATGTGTTCCTGCCTTCCTGGTAGTTGTTAAGTGCGGGTGATTTAATTATTTACATAGCTAATGTATTTTAAAATATTTGAGTTTTGATCCAAATCGAAGTCAAAGACCGGTGCTCTTTGGCAACCAAAACTCATATCCTTCATATATTAATATTCATTATGTGGTCAAAGTTTCTCAAAAACCATTTATAGTATAATTACGCAAAAAAGTTTGCATATAAGTCGCAATGATCAAATTCAATCCCAATTGAAGAATGGGTTTCATTCCAAACCATTTCTTTCTCCTTCTCCTCTTTCCTCTCTCTTTTCTCCTATTCTCAAGCATTTCCTTCTCAGATGCCACACCTAATATCATTCGCCATTTTCAAGATGAACAAGTTTATGGTATTTTACTAATTTTTATATTTCTTATTCGTCATGTATGTAAACATCTTTTCTCACATTTAGCCATTTAAATTCCATCTTATTGGATAATTATGTGGGTTTTAATGCCATTGCATGCAACTAGAAATTCACCTACAACATTATCATTATCATTTTAAAATATTATTGATGATAATAATTATTAGAGTTCACAATTTTCATATTTTGAGAATATATTCTTTTTGAGAGTGATCCAAAATTAACTATTTCATATTTTGTGTTCTTGGATATGATTTGGTGTAATGTTAGCATTTGATGGTAAGAGACTAATGGTGGGATGGAAAATGATGAAGATCACGGCTGAAACGCCCATCGTAAATTCGACTAATTTGATTTTGGCGGCAGAAAGGACTCACCGAAGAGATCCTACTGATAATTTTCGGTACTACATCGGTGGCTGGAACCCTTCTAATCCACATTATTTATTTGTAAGTTTTCTGTGACATAAAATGAACGCTATATGCTTCATGCAATTCTTGAATAAATCATTGAGAAATTTTATTATGCTTTGAGGCATAATAATGCATGAATGTAGCATGCATTTACCCACAACTATATGTTGTCAAAATAGAATTGGTAAAATGAATTTGCTTTAGGGATTCTACAAATTATATAGTAATGGTACAAGTAATAAAATTTAGGCAAATTCTACTGTAACCTTAAGATAATGTACTTTATCCATACTAATCAAACAAAATTTTGCAACTAAACACTTACAATATTAATAACTGATGAAATAATGATGTGGATCAATCATATGTGTTATGTCGCAATTTTTATGGGACACTGTAGCATGCAACTAAAATTTATCATCATTTTCTATACTAAATGTACAAGTGTTATAGGGTTGACCTGTGTTAATAAATATGAAACATCACAGTCGGTTAACCCAAAACCTACCTTGATTATCCAAACAAGAAAAAAACTAGAATTGTGTTCTATTCGAACTGGCCCGAATCAGTTAAACTAGGTTCTGGATCTTCTTTCGAAATGAGCATGATATTAGTGCAAAATCTCCTTAATTTGGAGAGTTTCCGTATGCACAAAATTCATGCAAAAGCTAGTTGGTCGCATATGGACCCCAAATATCCATAAATGCTACTCCCTATGTCCATAAAATCTCCTTAAGAACTCCCTCTATAAGTTGAACACAGATTTCTATCGTAACTAAGTAACCCTTGGAAGTATATCATTTGTAGAACTTATGTGTAGCTAGCTATGGCATAATACTTAAACAAAAAATGGTTTTAACTTGTCATTTCCATTTATTTCCTTCTAATATGCACTCTTCTTCGATGTAAAATGATCTACTTTACAATAACAAGGTCCTTATTTCCAGCATAATGTACATTATTTATATAAGCTCCCTTTTAGAGGTTATAATGAGAATTACCATATCCACGTCGTCATTGACAAATAGCTTGGTAGAGATGCCCAACAAAAGCTTCTCACCGGTAGCGGTTCTTACTCTATGTTACATGATTCTAAGGTTATTTTTAATTGTTGTTAGATGCTCTTAGTTCCTCTAATTTTGATGCATTATCGATTTTTGTTTCCACTTATCATCCATCATAAAATTAATTAGTTGTCTCAAATATGACCATAAAATCTTACATAAAGTTATACACTTTGACATCATGGCATTTGCATCAACTTTTACCCAAAAACTCTTCATTCGTATTTAAATAACTAAATGGTAAAATGAACCATAATGATGAAAACTAAATAGGAATGCAATCCAAGTTAAACAATAACATTTGATAAAAAATAGTTTGTGGATGAAAAGTAATAAAAATATTTTTAAGTTCAACAATACATTGTGTAACAATGTCTCTCTCCCCTCTCCTATCATGAGATTGTTAGCAAGTAAATTAGTTCAGTTTCACATTTTATGAGATTGTAACCATGAATTTTGACCTTATTCACTTCTCTTTTTGTTGTGTCAAAATTTATTATAACGAAGTCAGCATGCTATGCTTCCCTTGGGCCTTTCCTCGTCGCAGTTTTATGGTTCATCGTATTTGCACTATGGTTGTTTTGTATGTGTATGTGTTGTTGTTGCGGTTCACGCCATACTTACGGCTATTCTCAAACTGCCTATACCTTGTCTCTAACTTTCCTCGTCCTTTTCACTCTTGCGGTCATGTAAGCTTCTTCCTCAACAATAATATCTCATTTTTCTTGTTATGTTATTTCATAAATCTAGATTCCACTTTGTAACATATTCTGTTTTTTCATAATGTACTCAGAGTAGGAAGTGTACTCACATGTGTTGCACAAGCAAGATTTGAGACAAGTGTTGGTAATCTTATCAGCTATATTCTGCATAGAGCAGATACAGTCGCCATTAGCCTTATGGACTTGTTCAATAATATATTAGCAGCCAAGGATGTTGGGATTCAAAATATCATTTTACCTGAAAAACAGAGGAATGATGTTGAACAAATTCAGAATAAAATCAATGGAGTGTATCATAGTTTTTGCGACATTACTACCAAGAATGGAAATGGTATCATAAGTTGGCTAAATCCACTGTGAGAACTTCACTTCTTTTATTATATTATATCTAAAATTTTCCTAAAGTGTTCTTGAAAGTTAATGAATTGCATGTTTTATTTGTTTTAGAAAACTAATCCTCACTACCATAGCTGCAATCATGATTGTTGTGGCATTGCTCGGGCTTGGTATGTTTATCTTTCTTTTATCCTTTTTAACAATAAGTTATTTCATAAAAACAATGAATGTGACTTAAATTAAAGTCATGTTTCATAAATTACAAGCATATCATAAGTATAATTCTCTTATTTTCTTTTTGGTTAAATTCTTCTTGCAGTATTTTCAGTGACTGGAGTTGAGTGTCTTGTGTATAGGTATGTAAGTTTTATATGTCAAATCGGATTTGGTTCATCATATTTGATGTGATAGCCATTAAGTCATTGTAAATAGACCAAAAACACAAATAAAATCAATGTATAAGACCTCAAACTTCTCTCTTCCATGAAGTTGCTCTTTTAGATCAAATCCACAAATCTTACTTCTAACAAGGTACATTTGCAATTGCAGCTTAGCAATGGTTGGATGGATCATTGTAACTATAACATTTATTATGAGCGGCATATTTCTCCTTGTAAATAAGTATGCTCTCTTTTAGCTACATTCACATCTTAAACCATTCTTCAGTTTTTTTTTTGTGTTTATACATTAGTAATATAGCTTAGTCTTGTACTCTAAATCCACACATTGCAGCCTTGTTGGAGACACATGCACTGCCATGAATGAGTGGACGCAAAATCCAACTGCAGATTCAATTATAGAGAATATAGTCCCTAATGTAGATAATCATATTACTAGACAAATTTTGTCTGCAACAAAGGATGTGACTTATGGAGTGATAGAGGTGGCAAATACTTGTATTTCTAATGTCTCCAACGCAAATGGGGCTTCTAACACAAGCGTATTGTACTATAACCAATCAGGTCCATTGGTGCCATTCCTCTGCAATCCTTATAACAAGGATGGTACTGACAGACAATGTGCACCAAATGAAGTTAACTTCAAGAATGCCTCACAAGTATGAGCTTTCTATTATAGTGAATTTGATTTTTTTGTAATGGTTATGTCTACTGTAAAATGTTGTACAAACATGCAGGTTTGGGAAAAACATGTGTGTCATGTTTCTTTTACTGGGAGTTGTGACACCCCTGGCCGATTAACACCAACGGGTTACAAGCAAATCATTACACTTGTTAATGTTAGCTCCGGTCTTTATGATGGGATACCATTTGTGATCGAGCTCATGAATGGCACTTTTCTCACAAAAACATTGTTTGACTTGAGCAAAGACTTTTGCTCAGGTCTAGAAGAATACTCAGAGTGGGTGTATTTTGGGCTGATAACATCATCAACAATGTTAATGTTGTTGTTGGTACAATGGATAATTTATTCTAAACAGAGAAAACGACGTGCATATACTAAGAAAATAGATGCTATTTTGTACTGGAAGCAAGTTTCTTGTTAATGTTTCAATTAAGTTTATCATACATCAGCTTTGATTTGTGTCGAGTGTTATTGCATGCTAATTTTTGGATCTTGATTTTACGCCATAGTTGTAATGATTGAGATTAGCTTAAAAGGATTAATAGTATTACTCATACCAAATAAATGCATCTTCTTTTAAGGATCTCACATACTAAGAATTCCAAGCTAAGTTCTTGCATGGGAGTAATCTTTGGGTGGGTGACCCCCCCGAGAAGTTTCTCATGGCGCACACGAGTGAGGATAAAGTGTGCGGTAAAAAGGCTCTTATTGGTTTGTAGAACAATACTAGGTATGGAATGCATTAGGAGTAACTAGCTTGGACCCCGCGTGGTCGGGCTTGATGGATATCTGACTTTGGGAGTAGGCGGAATCCAGGGAATGAGAGACTGGAAGTGCTAAGTAAATGTGAGTATGAATTCCGACAGAGTAATGGTAAGTTGTGCGCAAGAAATCAGATCCCTTTCCACAAGCTGGAAGGTGATATTTATACTAAGAAGGTAATACTTGGTATCCAAGTACTCTGTATAAAAGATGATATTCTACTGTGGTGGCAACACATGTAATGATTGGATATCAAGTAAAATATGCTACTATAATTTCACGGTGACACGTGTAAAGTTGATTGGCAAGAGAATGTGGACAACTGGATGATTGGTACTATGCATAACAGAATTTGATCTTTATGTACCAGAGCGCATGTCCAAGCCATACGTGTGCAATCCTGAATATCCTGTACTAACCGTTTGAATGACGTAAGTACTGAACAGTTGTTGTGCAGGTGATGTGGCTATAGTTACTTGCGGAACTTGACTGCTGAAATGTTTAAGCCCATGATTTCCTTACGAGGTCCCAAGCTCAGCAGGTGAGGTCGATCTCGGGTGCAGTGTGCTTCCTTTGGAGGAAGGAAACCTTAGTTTGTTGTATGAATACTGCAATGCTTTCTCTGTTCTGTTGACTTCGCGGAGCGCTAATTGACCCCAAACTCGATTATGACGCCAGATTTGGCATTAACCTCGGCGAGGATTGACCTCGGCCTCAGATGCAGTTTTGGCCTTATCTCGGTATTCTGGGAATCAAATGTTTAACCTGATATCGGCCTAGATCGAGCTCGGCCTCGGTAGGGAAATGACTTAGCAACTCCTGGAGATCATTTATTCTTGAGCGTTAATATCCCTAGGGTATATGGGAATATACTCCATCATGAGTCCCCCACTCTCTGAGGCGAAAGTCACACTTGAGGTGATAGAGAGTAATTCTTTAACTTTTGGGCTGGCACGCACGACAATATGTTGATCTAGTGGATATCAGATAGGCACTTAGAAGGGAAGGATTATGGGGAGTGATAGAGATTGGTTTATGGACGCAATGAGGACGTTGAGTTCCTAAGTGAGGGTGATTGTACTACTTGATATTAGTTTAATAGGATTAATATTAATACTCATATTAACATGGTGTATCTCCTTTTATGAGCTCATGTACTAAGAATTCCAACCTGGGCCTGCTTGCACAGGAGTAATCTTGGGATGGTTGATCACCTGAGAAGTTTCTCAAGGCGTACATGAGTGAGGACAAAGTGTGCGATAAAAGGTTCGTGTTGGTTTGTGAGGACAATTTAAGTCTGGAGCGCATTTAGGAATAATTACCTTGGACCCCGAAGAGTCGAGGTGTTACATTAGTTGTGAAATATTCATATTTAGTTTAACAATATTGAGCAGATATGTTGGATCACCTTTCGAGGACAATCAAACTACTAAGAGTGGGTAATAATTATAGGAAAAACTTTTTCTGCAAAAATAAAATTAGGTGATGGAAATCCGAACCTGGGGGTGACCGGAAAACCGAGTAAGATAGAGAGATTGAAAGTGTAAAGTGTAATTGAGTAGAAAATTGGGCAGAGTAACAACAAGTTTGAGCAGAGAAAATCGGATCCCTTTCAACAGGCTTGAAGGTGATATTTATACTGAAATAGAAATACTTGGCGTCCAAGTATAAAAGATGTTATTCTAATATGGTAATGACATGTGTAATACTTGGCCATCAAGTAAAATATGCTAGTCTAATAACAAGGAGACGCATGTAAAGCTTGATTGGCCAGAGAATGGAGACAGCTGCTGATTGGTACGGCGCCAAACTGATTTGATTCCATCATACTGGATTGTGCAATGGAGCAACATGTGTACCCCTAGAACCTTATGTGCATAACTGCCTGGGTGAGATCAGCTCTAGACAACTGTTGTGTTGATGGCGTCATCATTGATGTGTATGCGAAACTTGAATCCTGGAAATAGCTAAGTCCATAATTAATCTTCCCCGAGGCCACAGGCTCAATTGAATTGGACTCTGGGACAACATAATGATTTAGGATGAGGGCGGCCTTATCTCACTTAGTGGAACTTGAATGCTAAAATGGTTAAGTCCTCAATGTTCTCATAGGCCAAAGGTTCTGATGGTCCCTGGTAAAAGTCTGGGGGGTGAATAGACTTTTAAATCTTTTTCGATTTAAGATCTCTTCAATCTTTGTGAGTTTGATCCTTAAGACCTTTTGAGGGGTTTAGGATCAGCAACGGAAGACTTGACTTTTGATAGACACACTGAAAAGTTTAAGAAGGTTGTTTTCTGGAAAATGAAATGAGATAGAATCAGTAGGCTGCTACAAACTGGCTTTTGAGGAGGCTGTTTTTTTGGGAGTAAGTTAAGGCTTTGATATGTGATTAATAGCTTAAGAAGAGTGACACACTGATGTATCCTGGTTCGGAGGTGGTGTAATCCTCCTACATCCAATCCCACCCTATAAATGGTTTTCCACTCAGCTATTAACCAATACACTTAGTGACCAGTTTACCCATGATCATAATCATAAGCTGTCAGGTTTTCACAATGAGTATAACCCACTCCAAGTTACTCTTGCCTCTAGGTTTTTCACTAATGAACCGAACTGATTCAAGAGCTACTCATGTCCTAACTCCTAGGTTTTTCACTAATGAACCGAAATGATTCAAGAGCTACTCATATCCTATTCTACCTACTCTTTGGATTTGTATCACAAATTCTTCCAAAGGTGTTACAACTCTTTTCCAACTATTCTAGGCTCTAGTATGAATATTCAATGTCAACTAGTGTAAGAGCTTAAAGATATGTGAACGAGCTAAGAATAAAGTGATGATTTAGCACTTTATCTTTTGCAGGATTTTCTAGAGATAGTTGTCTTGATTGCACTAAGCTCGTTGAGTCTTCTTCATCACATACCTTGGGTATTTATAGACTTTTGGTTGTTGAATATCTCCCGTTTGTTGAGGAGATTCAATCTTGAACGATGATGCATCCACTTGATCTTCTTTCTTCGGCATGCTCTCTTTTTGTCTTGACTTGGAGTAGTTTGAATCTATTTCTGTTCTTTTCTTGAGCCCATGCTTACACTTGTATTGAATAAGAGAGTATGGGTTGACTTTCAAAAGTTATCTCAAAGTCTCAGCCCACTTGTTTGTTTAAATCTCGTGACTTTCCATTTTAGTCAAGTTGCACATGTAAATAATTTTTACTTTGCCTTTTACTGTTAGTATCCTTGGGAATTTTTGACGTACCTAGAAATAAGGGAATGAAAATCAGCTACCTGGATATGAGTAGGCAACTGATTTCCATTCATTCAGTCAACTCTTTTTATTACCTTTTTCTTTTGTTCGTACTTTCTTCTGCATGATTACGTGAATTACAAAGTACATGATCAAGTTTAGTCTATAATACTTGCATCATCAAAACCCAAAGGGACCTAACAAGATCTAAGGGTCTAGAGCTCGGGGATAGTTTATTCAATTAAGGAGAATGTGACCTCAACTTGCTTAATCAAAGCTCCTTTTAGCTCTTTGACTCTGTAGGCGGTTAGTTGAGTTCAAGTTTAGCCATAGCGTTGACTTTGGCGTTGACCCAAGTAGGCGGCGAGCTTGGGCTCGGCTACAGTTTTGGACTTATCTCGATAATATGAGGGCCAAATACGGAACCGGGCTCAGTGGACACGGGCTCGATCTTGGATGCAGATATGGACTTATCTCGGTGATCTTAGAACTCATTCTAGGAACCGACCTTGGTGACACAGGCTTGAGCTCGGCGGTAACTTCGTAGTTAGTAATTTTAGGAGATTGTTGACCCATAAATGTTGATACCCTTGGGGTATTGGGGATATACTCCATCACTAGGTTTCTCGATGGGACGATCATATTATCGAAGGTTGAAGGAGGCATTAATGACTTTTTGAGAATTAACTCAATGTTGATTGCATGGATTGTGAGCGTAGTTGATCCATCTTTACCATTAAATTATCACTTGTATAGATACAATGTATAACTTGTGAGAGGATTTGCAGCTACGATTTGAAGTGTTTGGTGCAATGTGACTCCACCAACAAAAGGATGGTTTCATTTGGACAAAAGATGACAAACTATTATGGAGACTAATGATGTTGTGGGACTACTACGTTGATTACACAAGCTTCCACGATGTACAAGTAGGAATTCTACTTGCAATATCGGGGGAAACTTTCTTGCTAACGGTGAAAGATGAGAATACTAGTTCATAATCCAACATCTTGAGCATGTATACCTTTCCGCCACTAAGAAAGGTATACCAAATAGTTATCCCAGGGTAATTACACTAGAATGCAAGTCATGCTCAGGAAGCTAGAGTGATGTTGTTTCTTTTGTCATCCAATGTGTTGCATACTAGATCAAATCTTCTAAGGAATAGAAGGGCAAATTTCTTTATTATTATTGTATAATTGATGCACACATTGGAGAGAACTATTTAGAGCTAATTGAGAAGTACCTGATTGGTGGTCCGCTAACAAAGGGGTCATGGAAATGGCTGACTCTTGGGCCTTCATTCACATGAAAGGGGTAATAGATCGCAACCATAAGTTGCAAAGACACATCCCTTTAACAAAAACATACAATGTTTCTGGATGTTCCAACCTAGACCGCAACATACTTTCAGTAT